AAGCCAACGCTTATCTCCTAAATTCTCGTCAGGAGCAAAAATATTTGGTCACGTATCACACTCTACAGAGCTTGTACGTATGTGTTTGGCTTGTGAACACTTTGACTACAACAGCGCCGACTCGATCTCCGATACTTTGCATGTGATCTCCAACCGATGTTTGCGAACAGTGGGAAAAGAATTTATCTTTCAGTTCAGCAGACGTTCATGGGGCAGGAACGCGTGACGAACCCCTAACAACGTCTTCGTGGCCGTGGGAGGCTAGCCTGTTTCAGGCTCCGAGGCAACTTTTCGCGTGCCTTTTTCTTTCGCGTCTTGTCCACTATCTGAGACCCTGGAAAAGGCTACGTTTTCTCGTACATACTAGACGTCTTAAAATCTTGTGGCGCTGAATGCAAACGCCATTATCCAAAAAAGGTGATTTAAGAAATAGGATTGCTAGATCGCGTTCACTTCGCTTCCTGTAATGATTATACCAGATTAAAGGGGCTTATGTCACGCGGGTTTAAGTCATCACCTTACCGCCCACACAGAATGCTCGTGCTTAATTATTTTTTGGTGATTAATTTGCAGGGCACAGCATCCAAACTTGAAAGAGTTGGCCCAAGTTTTTGAAGTTTCAATCCATGTCCATCATTTTCTTTCCGTAGAGCAACAGACGACAGGAAACAGCTTCAGTGCTTATGTACGGTGTTAAACAAAATAAATATATATATATATATAAAATAGATAAAAAGAGTGACCATAACTCTGTCTTTTTATTTTTTTTTCTCACTTAAATTCATGTCTGTCAAAGAGTATTCGTTCGTCCACGTCGACAATTACTTGTTTTTAGTGATTCCTCTTATCGTTTCAGTGTCGTTTGGCAGTATTTGTGGCACAAAGGCTTTTGAGGACCGAACAAACAGAGCAAATGACTAAAAAATATCGACGCCCCTGAAACATAACAACAAGGTTAAGAGTGCAAACTGTCCGGATGCTCAGCATAACCTTTTTATGGTCAAGGTTTTGAATGCGAGACTACGAGGCGTGAACAATTAATCCAGCTAACAGTCAGTGGAAGACTTGAGCTTGGAGTGTTGTAACTAAAGATTCTTACGCCAGCAATTCAGTTCTTCTTTTTTTTCTGATTTATTTTCAGTTTCTTATACGATGTCGTTTTTTAGTTCAAAAGTTTCTCTTTCTAAGATCATAAATTCATTCTTAGCAAATGCCTTAGCGGAAGTTGTCATTTTTTCTTTATTACGGGACTCCCCCAAAACCTCAGTGTTTAATATTTGAGAGATCCTGAATATAATCTTCCTTCGATGTCTTTCGCTATGGCTTGATGCTCCATACTTTGTTCACTGCACGCTTCAGAACCTTTAAGAAACCATTGATCTTGCTTTCAAAATACGGGATGAAGTCCAATTAGGCGTGACCAATGGGCAGTGTCACGCTCGCCCTTGTGACACTCGCTCTCCAGTCATATGCCGGAAATAACGTATTAGTTCCGATCCAAAAACGCCTATAAACGTAAAAAAAAATCCCCTCAGTGTTATAAGGTATATTATATAAAACATTCGAAACCTGAGTTTGAAGACTATTGTGCAATTTGCGTGGGTGAAAGTGTTTTGAACGGATACACGATGTGTGTCGTTGTTATAAACTTTATTGATCAACCTGATGAACATTTGATCTGTCCGATCTGCAAAAGTGTTTTCAGCGAGCCATGGCAGACGTCTTGTGGACACAGATTCTGTAAAAGCTGTCTCGATCCACTTCTTCGGTGAGTCAAGTACAAAGACCATGGTTATTGCTTGTATAAACATAAATCTTGGTTTCTTTAAAACTAGAAAATTCTACTGCCAGTGATTATTATTATTTAATACTTGTTGTATGAATTGAATTTGCATTGAGTCGACACCGGGCATATTTTATATTTATTTATTTCATCACTTCTTTTTACTTTAGATCGATCACGAAAAAGGCTCATTTTACTAAATATATTAATAGTGACCAAGAAAATTTGTCTCATTTTATATTAACAAAATGGTATAATAATGTTGCACTCCGGCCAAACAGAAATATCTTCTCAGCTCACTTATAAGAGTTGCTCAGTGTTGGGCATCGTTTTAGAATTTTTAAGTTAAACTTATAATATACACCATTATAAATAAAAAGCCGGCGATATAATTTATGGTTAGCTAAACATACAGATGGACATGCAATATATTTCCTTATCCAGTCTTAAATTGCCCCCTAGTGTCCCATGATATATACATGCACTAGCTGATAACTTGATCCCGAAGTTCTGATCTTTGAGCCATTTTAATTACGGCAGAGGCTTACAATAGAAGCTAATAGAGAAGAAAAGGTAACAAAGCAAAAAATTAGCACATGGAGGACCCAAATACACACAAAAAAATGGGCTCCTTGTATTGACATATACTAAATGTTTTATTTCTGTTTTAAAGACCAACGTGTTTAAAATGTCCTGTCGATGGAGAGAAAATTGCAAGAGAGGAATCATTTCGTGACAAATGCTGTGAAAGGGAGTTACTTGATCTGCGGTGTAGTTGTCGATATAAAGACAAAAATTGTGAATGGAAGGGAGAATTCAGGAATCTAAAGGTAAACAACCTAGGTGTAATTCATTCAGGTTCCTTTTTGCCACACTGATTTTGAAAGTAAAATTTGCTTGTCAGCTCCAGTAGTCCTTTTGCAGGTGTGCTATCACAACGCTATCAGCTTGACGAAACGGATCCAAATAAACAGACCAAAGTGTGTAATCACAATTAGGGGAAAATCCCGCAGTCATATTGATATTGATATTTATTCTTTTACTCTATGTAAAAAATTAAATCGGTTGGCTACACAATCGACTAAAGATGTTGAATTTGATTTTTTTCTTTGACATTATTAGGTCCATGAAGAGTTTTGTCAATATGGCGATGTACAGTGTAAAGCGTGTGGGGAGGCAATGGAGAGAAGGCATCTTGAACAACACAGGACGAAGGATTGTATCAATAGGACAGCAGTATGTGCATACTGCAGCGAAATGATCCGAAACGACAAAATGAAGGTATGAAAATTAATAGCAGGTTTCGCTAATTAAATATTAGCTACTGCCTGCTTTATTCTCCTTACCAAAGTCTTCTGGGGAAGACTAAAAGAAATGCGAGTTACGTATGTCCTTAATTCACAAAATGGAAACCCAATATTTTTTTCCTACTGTTTCGCATTCAAATTTTCCTAAATTATATTCTTACCTCCGTTATCTATATCCACTGAAAATGAAACTTGTTATTTCTAAAAGGGGAAATTTCTAAGGGGGAAACACCATTGAATGCTGAAATGTTTTGTTTTTGAATGCAAATTTTAGCCACCTGGTGTTTGTTTGAAGTTGTTTCAGATTCAGTTTCAATTTTGTGCAATGGATATCTCATCAGTATATCGACTTTCTATTTTAGGATCATCTACAGGTTTGCCTCAAACTTACAACAGCTTGTCATTTGCATTGTGGAAAAGAGGCCATACCACGAGACATGATGGAAGAACACCTGAACAAGGAATGTCCAAAAGCGGAAGTGCTCTGCCCTTTCACATCCCATGGATGTTACTTCAAAGTAAGTTAAATCTTGTAAAAACAGTAGCAGAACTGATGAAATAAGCACTTATAATTAGTCATGCTCCCATTCGAAACAATTTACTATGTAAAGGCCACCGTACCGCTGCATATATCAAAGTATATCAAAGTACACAGAAGCATTTTGTCCTCAGTTATTTAATACCTCATGGTATCAACATGGTTCAGCTAGGAATCAAGCAACAGGCCAAATTCCGTGTACTTTAGGACCCCTGCGAAGCTCATTTTCCCGAAAGAAACAAAATGAATTTCATGGTCTTGCGGTACATCAATTTAGCTACAGTTTTACTTGCCCTCTATAAAGCAATTTCCGATGTTCCGATAAATTTGCATAGATTCTAGCCACGTGCGTGAGGGAAAGCTATACGGCTTTAGTGAAAGCTAAAACGTGTTTTTGGAACAATTGGATTCCAAAAGACTATACCAAGGCACTGAAATTTTTCCCGCCGTCTGCTGCTACGGATGGCGTGGATCGATGGAGATGGATTGAAACTTGAAAAAATTCGGGCCAACTTTTTTGGGTTTTACTGCTTTCCTGCAAAAGTCAACAAAAACTTATCATGGTCAGTGCTCCCTTGATGAAAACTGTTTGATCTGCTCTTTATAACTCTACAAGAGCATTTTGGTTAAAGGCTCTAATTAATGACTTTAGCTAAAACAGGAATATCCTTGTGACATAGCTCCTGTACAGCCGGTCATTTCTAGCCAATCAAAAATCACACTTAACATTAAGAACTGTAGGAAGCGTCTTGATATGCTGCGATTGCGATATGGTTAAAGATATAGTGAGTAATGTTCTTTTATTTCTTTTTCTTTATTCTTTCTTTTCCTAGGGAAAAAGGGAGATCATCGAAGAGCATCTCAAAAGCACTGTAACGCTTCATTTGGAAATGATGAACCAGTCATATGTCAGGAGTCATCAAAAATCTGTGGAGTTAGCAGAGAGAGTAGTCCACTTAGAAGAGGAGAAAAATGCCCTAGAAAAGCAACTTCAAAATCAAACTGAACAACTTGTAGCTTCAAGAATTAACATTCAAACACATCAAACGAAAATATCAAAAATAGAAGAATTAGTACAAGATCATCGAAGGACGTTGGAAAAAGTGCATCGAGATTTGGAAGCCGTCAGCGGTGTTGTGCCATCGCAAATGGAGGAGATTCTCAACACCATAAGAGAACACGAGTTGAAGTTAAATGGCTTACAGTCTGACGTGGTTAGTCTCAAAGACACCAGGCTGATAATTGGAGAAAATGGAGAAAAGCCTCAAATTTCTTCCTCCTTGCATCACTACAAGGGGCGTTTGGACAGGGCTGAGCACCAACTAGCGTTACATGAAATTCAGCTATCTGAACAGGATCTTCAGGTTAGAATGCTGGAGGCTACTTCTTACGATGGAGATTACCTTTGGAAAATCGACCATTTTAGCCGAAGATTTCAAGAAGCTGTTTCTGGTAAAACACCATCTATTTATAGCCCTCCTTTTTACGTTGGACGATTTGGATACAAAGTGAGCGCTCGTCTCTACCCTAATGGTGATGGGATGGGCAAAGGAACGCACCTGTCAATATTCTTTGTTATCATGAGAGGTGAATACGACGCTTTGTTACCCTGGCCTTTCAATCAAAAAGTCTACTTTAAACTTATTGATCAGGACAGAGTCAAAGATGCTTGTGATTCGTTTCGTCCCGATGCTAACAGTTCAAGTTTTAAAAGGCCAAAATCCGACATGAACATAGCATCCGGTTGTCCAACTTTCATTTCTCACTCTAGACTCCGAGAAGGTGGATACATCAAGGAAGATACCATGTACGTTAGAGTGGCAGTTGACATGACGAATCACAATGTTAAGGGCAATTTGACGGCTTCCACATGAGGCACGTTCTAGATAGCTGTCATTTTGAACTTAATAGTAAATATGTTTGAAACTGACACCGATTTATGTCAACTGGACAATTCTTTTTAGTATTATAATAGTAAAGGGAAATGTTTATGTAAAACGGTTTTAGGGTAAAACTTTAAAAAAAAATACAATGAACATGAATAATTATTACTTTATGCAATGACTGGATAAAAGTGAAAAATCTCAGAAGAAAAAAGTGTCCCTCTCATTGCTTGTCAGGAAAACCAGGAACAGTGTTAACAAATGTCTAGTTATTCATAATTGACGTTATTTTGTCTCTGTAAAGCAGAATGTCTAATAAGTCTATTTATTCCTTGCAAAGTTATAAAATACTAAGTTTCCGATAAAACGAGGTTTTCAAAAGTGATATGGTTCATTTATTACACATAACTGTCATATTTAACATTTTTAGAGTATTTAACACAATGAGATTAAATCAAATTTTGAATATTAAATAAATATTAATATTTCCATGATTGACAACTCCTGTGTTAACTGGGTAATAAATGTACTACAATAAATGCATCCAACTCTCTATTTTATCCAATAGAGGGAGAGAACGGAAAAAAAAGCACGAACAATTCTATCACAGCAGTAATATCTTTCTCCTGGTATTTTTAACTAACGGATTCAAATAAATCATGTAGATAATAATGTACTCTAGATATTAAGGGACTAGCCCCATTCTCGTCATTAATCTCTGACTCTCTTCTGTCGTTATGGAACAGATAGAAGGAATTTGCATAGCTAGTAGAGCAAAAGACAGTTCTTTTGATGGAAAACGCATCACGAAAACGAGGTCCGCAGTTGACCATAGAGAGGCTTGTGATTAAAAATGAGAGGAAGGATCAGAAAAATAACTCTGTTTCCTGCTACTCTGTTCCCACAAGGCACTTAAAGCGATTGCATTAGCCTGTGACAAGAGAGGCCGGCGAGCAAGCTGTCCATATCGTCACCGTTTCGAATGGTAAGCGAAGCGAGCCGCGAGAAAAGATGATCTTGCTCGCAGGCTACGGATCGACTGGAATACGGTCTTTGCTCTGACACAAATTAATTTTATCGATTCCCGGCCACGCCTTGGATATGTCCTCCTCTTCGGTCCTTGCGAGAGAGGAGGACATGTTCAAGAGAAGAGTTAGAAAGGCCATCGAAATCTTTTGTCGGGCTCCAACATTGAACAGCTGGGAACGCTCTGGTAATACGAGCTCGCCCCCGCTCTAGAATCCAACGCGTTTTCAGACCTTACGTAGAAAGAACGTATGTCATGATAACTTAGATTAGATCGCCAACATATAATAAACCCATTATGAATTCGCATATTAGTCAGTTCTTTCTCATTCACTTGGAATTGAAACGACAAATACATTTCATACACTCCCGTGGTTCCCTCGAAAACCATACCTATTCCAGGCCTGAACATGGGCAAATTCTATACCCGTTTTCAGACCGCAACGGCGCAAAAACCATATGGCTTATACAGGGGAGTACCCCCGGGGGTCATTGGTAATCACGTAACTGGCAAATGAGCATAATATAATACCGAACTTTTGCCTGAGTGACCACTAAACAATAGAGGGTCTCAATTGGGTGGTAGCGTTGACGGTTGACCGTTATATATATAATTAAGTACAAATTTAGTTAACTTCTGTATGAATTGGTATTCACTGTTAATTGCGTTAGGAGGCTGTCTTGACCTTTTCCTTATAAAATTTCGAATTATTTTCAGACATTAGCAGGTTCAAGGCCTTGTAATAGAAGTACTAGAAAGAGTGTTTTTAAGATTTTTCCCGTTCAGGAGCCATAATCCCGTAAAGATCGGCTGAAATAGTGCGATTTGAAATACCTTGAAACTTTTTGGGGGTTAAAATCTGCATTTTTGACGGTTTATCAGTAAAAAATAACCTTTTTTACAGTTGACGGTCAATTTTTAGGTTGTTGTAGTTAACGGTTGACGGTTAACCCCTTTGAGACCCTCAAAATAGCTTCCCAATGCGCAGTTCTCAAAACCCAAGCAATTCGCATTTGAATAAAATCAGCTTTAGAAATAAATAGAGGATATTACACGGTGGCACGAAGATATGAATTTTATTTTCGATTGGCAAAACAACAATACTTTACGAACGAGCGCAGCGAGTGAGTAAAATATTGTTTTTGCCACGAGAAAATAAAATTCATATCTTCAAGCCGCCGTGTAATGTTCTTTTTATTATATAGACAAAAAGACATTGGATCATTATCAGCAGCTGGCCAAAGGGTGTTATTTAAATTTACTACATAAAAATACGCAACTACGTAAAAAATATTTTTACCTTGTTATATAAATTTACGTAGTTACGTATTTTTAAGCATTAAATTTATATTACACCCTTTGGCTAGCTGCTGATAATGATCCAAGACATTGATAAAATAATAGAGGGAAATTACTGAAATTACGTACACGTAATCGATAAACTCACTTGTGATATTAGTATGTGTATTCAAATGGTGACGAGTGAAATTAGGGAATAATTTCACGCGCGTTTTGTCCAAATCCTAATAATTATTAGGATTTGGACAAAACGCAAGTGAAATTATTCTCTAATTTCACGAGTATACCATTTGATTACCTATTAACATCATTGTTGACGAATTACGTTAGCAATCTTGGATTTTTGACATGTTTATCCTGGATCGTATCGATCGAGAACTCCACTCAAATGTTTAGACCTTAAATTTGGCTTATAAAGTTCAGACTTTTTCGGCAAAATACCTGTTAAAATCCTTCTTGATGTTCTCCTGTGTGTTCAGGCTTTCTAAAGGGTCTTTTTGTGCCCTGACATCTTCATTCACGGCATTTTAAAACTTCTTCGCCATCTTGACACTGAGACGTAAGGAATGGTTGCCACGGCAATTTTGCAATTTCACATGTGAAATTACAAATTAACGCTGAAATTTCGCGTCAAAATTAAGGAGTAATTCGTCACCTATGATATTATGGAAAATAAACCACTCGGGTCCCCGATGTAGTTTTTATGAATTTTACGAGTGGTATATTTTCCAGTAAAACACTCGTGTCTATATAATAAATTATTTTGTCTTCATTCTTCTCTTCCTGTTGGATATTCAGCTCACAAAGTTACCTGAGTGCTGCACTGTTATCGTTATGTCAAATTAATGGTTCGACTAAATCCCGTACAAGAATGAATTTTTTTCCCGTCATTTTTCGTAATTGGAAACAAAGCTGTTTCTATAACTGTCATGATCTTCTTCATGTTTATTTCTTAAAAGAAAAATTAAGAAATTTATTGCACTAAAATATAACCCATGGTTCTAATGTCTTTCTCACCATTATCACCTGTGTTATGTTCCACATTTCCACACGTGTTGTAATGATTGGGTTTTCCTTCAGTACCAAACCCGATTCTAGAATCGCAGGAATCACATTCGTCAAGTTCATTATTGCCCTGGAACTTTGTTCCAAAGTAGATATGGCATTGAATCCTTCCTTGTTACAGCCGAACTGCAAGGAGGCCTCAGAGCCAATCAACGACTTCCACGTGTCACGACCCAGTGAGGTGCTGCGGTATTGCCCATCAGCGATCAGAGAGTACAAGGAGTTCGCCTGTTGGTTGATGACAATAAACTTGATCTGGTGGCCGATTTTCATACCGAGGCAGATATTAGAGAACGCTGTTTTCCAGTAAGATGGTAATTTAGACTCTTGGCTGTCAAACCCAGTCTCTCCGCCGTCGAGGTTAAAGGTTCCTTTGTTGCTCCAGAGAGCGGATCTGTAGCGAAAAGTTTGCTTTTAAAGAAAAAGAGTAGTGACCATTAATATATAATTTGTTTGAAACTATTATATTGGTAGCTTGTCAGTTCAGCTTGGTGGAGAACTTTCTTGGCTGATGACCGTTAACATGTCATAAAATTCCCCAAAAGTCGTCCGAGGCGTACGTGTTTTATGGGATTGTAATCGGGTGGGCTTATTATGGGACAGATATTTTGCGTCTTAATAAATTAATGCAGTTGAGAAAAAAAGCCAGTCTTTGTCAACTGAGGCCAAACTTGAAAAGCTTGTACACTGACAACGTTGGCTTACTTTGTTGCCGTCTATCTTCATGACCGGCGTCCATGCTCCATCTCCACATCCAAAATCTCCAAAGTGACAATGAACGGAAGTTGGTTTTGAATCGAAGAGAAGCGTAGTAACATTATTATTCTTCATCCACCTGCCATCCATTTGTAAAAGAAGAAGACGAAGAAAAAACATCGCTAAATAACATGTGAGCCAGAGGCAGAGGCAATGAGGGGCAGTACTTTAAGACCACAAAATTTCATCTTGCACAACCTTTTTCAGACCTGGACTCGAAGAAATTATGCTATCATTACTTTAGGAGGCCAACAAAACGATTTCTTAAAATCCCTAAAAAATTCGCACATGACTCTTATTCTTTCGTATTTAATTGGAAATGAAACGACAAATGCTGTCATATACACTCCCCTAGTTCCCTCAAAACCATACCCAATACCAAACCAAAATGGCAAAGTCTAAACTAGCTAGTTTTCAGATCAAAACGAAGTAAAAGCTATATCCTTTGGGCGGCACATCTACATGGCTTGTGGAAGGGAGTAATTAACCCCCCCTCTCCCAACGCTTGTGAAGCAGTAACAGGGAAGCAGAATTAAAAGCAGGATTCCAAAATGTTTATATTTGTTACTTACTTGCCATGATCATACAAGTCTCTGCATGACTTTGCAGCTGGAAAAGAAAGAGGAAAGAACTTTGTAGTTGAGTTAGATTTTCCAGTAATTATTAAAGTACTTTTTTCTTAAATTAGTCCATTTTTTTCTTCGTTTTTTGGCTTGATTCTGCTAGCCTAAGATTCTCTATTTGCTGCAGGCCAGGTCATAGTCATTTAATTCGGTTGGCGACTATAAATTGTTAAACTGACCTGTAATTCCTGTTCAGTATCTATTTTGTTTTTTCATAATTATAGCTCTGAAGAAACAGTATCAAAGAGAAACCGTAAGAATGGTGTCAATAAAAAATAAAATGAGAACAGTGGTGATAAAAATTTGTGGACTTTCCCATTCTAATATAAAATTGACGGTTCGCATGTCTTGTGTCAACATACATTCAAAAGTGATCAACGTGACCGTTATAGACTGATACAAAACTATTTTACGAAATCCCAAGAATATTGTAAATCTCGTTTCCAGACTTCCTGTCTATTTTGTATAAAAAGTTTTGTCATAATCGGTAACGGTCACTTTTGATTACTTTTGAAAGATTAACGTAGTCGTTAGCAAATTACGAAACGTGGTCAAGTTTACGTAAAATGCGAAAGTTCGCATTGTTTATCACCGCTGTTTGTGTTTAAATTTTATTTTCGATTAAGCACAATGATGGCTTAAGAGCAGAAGTCTTTATGTTAAAAAATGTTATCTTTTTGGCCATTTTGCGATAACTAGTCGAACTTGAAAAAGTTGCTCCTGCTGCCTTTCTTTTCCACATTGGTAATCGAAAGACAAATATAACATTGGAGTTGATGTAAATGTAAAGTATATTAAGAGAAATTTTGAATTCAACTGAACCATTTTCTCAGGGCTTTCCTCTTTTTTAAATGTGTTTTGGAATATTTACGTTTTTATTTGCTTTTTCTTTTAATCACTGCCATTTTCATTTATTTTATTTCAGTTTTGACCGTACACCCCTGCGAAAAGAGCCGTGAAATGGATGCGTCTTACAACGGGTGGGGGCGGTGGGGGAGTGGGGGAGGGGGGTTGGTCAAAGGACCCCAAGATCTCTCCACATTATCTACGCCACTTCAATTATGGCCTTTTTCCCCATTAAATTGTCCTTAAATTTTTATCCAACTGACTGTTTTTGTTTCTGTATACGAAGTTATACATGAGGCCCCGGTCGTTCAAGCGATGAATAACAGTACTTCACTGGATAAATCAGTATGCATGCACTGTACTATGAGTTCTATAGAAAACAATTTCGTTATCCACTGGATGATTCAGCGGACATATCCACCTTTTAAACAACTGGGGCCTGTGGGTTTTAGTTACCTATTTCGCAAAATACACCCACAAATCCCTCAATACAAAGGCAGATAGACGTGCGATATTTGTATTTTGGCAAGCAGGTTCCTCCGTTTAGGCATGGTGAAAGCACACATAGAGTCTGTAAGAACAAAGTCATCTTTATCAGCTTATTACACATAATAATTTCAAGCAAAACTTGGTATAATTTTTCCTTCGTATTAAAATCATGGAGCAGTTATTATGTGTGGCAATGTTAAATTTGTTACATCTGAATTGATTGACTTGAAGTATTCATTAATCAAATTAAATTCTCTGAAATGTGCAACTGTTTTTTTATATTAACCATTTTTGCACTTTGCTATTTCGCACCCTTCATCTAAAATTAGATTTTCACGTATAATATTTTTCTTTCGTCACTGTGTCTTTGTTAACAATTGTATACGTAACTCATGCAGTGGAAAAAACGTTTTTTGATTTTAACAGTATCTAGCGTCCCCACAATGGCTGTCTCTTTAAGCTTTTGCTAAATGTACATGTAGGTGGTGTGTGTTACGCAGCGTCTTCTTTAGTCTTTAATATTTCCATAGTGCACCTTAACGAAGAAATAATGCCAACTATTGTGTCTTTTATACTCCTCGTGCTTCCTGAACTTTTCTGAAGACAGCAACACACACCACAACTTTCCATCTGCTCCTTTGTAAGCTGCCAGGTTGATGGACAAACAGAAAGGATTACGGAGACATCCAAAAGTGCAGTCAAGGTTGTCATACACTGCGAATGTTCCAACTTTAGACACGTTTAAATAATGGTACTCTTCTTTTATGAAGAAGTCTTGACGAACATCATGATTAGGATTGAACAAGTTGTCAAATTCTACGAGAAAAAGATGTTTTAATTTAGCTTTAACTGTGATCGGGAAAGGTAAAATGACCGCCATAACCAAATGCGAACCAACCTTTGTTTTTCAAGAATATATAGTACTGCGGACCACTGCGGCTAAGGTTCGGGCCAAAAGTGTGAACCGGGTCCCTGTGCGCACACTGTTTTTGTTAGTCAGTCTGGAGTAGTCCATTGAATTGCACTCGACGACACTATTAAACCTTATGTTTCAAAATGTCGTCTGACAGGGCAAAATCGAGTAACTACGTACCAATGATAAATCAGTGTGTACACGACACCATTCTTTTCCGGTACCTAGGCACTGGTTCCCGGCAGTGTGGACAGCCCTTACTACAGGATTAACAGTCTGGTAAGCAGCACAGAGTGCAACGGCCCATATGCCTTACATTTCACTGCTTTGTTCGCTAAGGATAAAATTGGCAAAAATAATGGCAAAAAAAACACATTTTCACTTGTAATTTGCTTTTGATAAGCTACTGTCGTGGACGCAAAAAGCTGTTTGAGCTCAAACTTTGTAGGATGGTAGAACTTTGTATTCCAAAAAATCCTGTTTTTGTTTTTCGATTTTAACGGTTTTTGGCGGGAAAATGACATCACAAGATTGACAGCAAAATTAAAATTTCAAGATATGGTGTAACAAATAAATAATATTAAAAAGCACCACGTTATAGAATACATAGAATGTGAAAATTTTTTTTCAAAAACTCGGGAAAAAAAAGGGAAAAGGGATATCACTTATCAGGTTATTTAAAAACTCAGCATGGTATTACAAGATTCACTCATTGTCATCATCGAATTAGATAAAAAATAATATATAAATAGAGTAAAATAAAAGATATTGAGCAGACCTGATCCTATATCCTCTCCTTATGGTTCTTGAATATTATAAAACTTTGATCTTTTAGGATCTTTTTGTGCTGATATTGATTGTCACAGCAGGAAACCGACTCAAACTAAAGAGACATAAGCGAACCAATATATTTTTGAACACGGGAGGATGCTTCAATAATTTATTTGGCATCTGTTTCAAATGAATAGTTCACATACAATATTAGATTTAAAAAAAATTTAAGGAAATTTTAAAAATTTTTCAATAAAAGCTACGTTCAAATCAGCTTAATTTAAAAATCTCGCATTTCTGATCCTGCACTACATATGACCGCGCATGTAATCTGCACCCATGTTATTTTGCTAACCTACGGCTGAACCCACAGAAAAATAGTCAGTAAACATTGGGCTTAACGAACGGGTAGTTTTTTTTTTCAGTTGTGTACTGTAGTGTCGTAAACAATTGATTATGATCATTTACCTCGTCCCGTCAATTTGTAAAAAAATAAAAAATCAACAAACAAACAAACAAAATTAAAAGAAATATTAGAAAATCAACTGATCTGAAAGGACATTAACCCTTTCACTGCCAAATGTGGCCAAAGGCAAATTTCGACCAAAGTTCCACATTTCATTTTCTAAAATTTTGAGGAAAAAATGGCATCATGTGAAAGTACAGGCAGAGAGCTTTCATTTGAATGGTCACCTTACAAAACCCCATCAAACAATCTCGCAGTGAAAGGGTTAAAACGAAGTCTACATTAATTTTACACTCTTACTTTGTACTTGAGCATCCATTGCATAAAGCATCACAAAAAATAAAAACCTGTGGTAGTTTAAGAGGAGCAACATGGCCTATCACGAGAAAAGTTGACAAGATCGTTTAAGTTTTGTCGTAATTCAGGCCAATTTGACGGGTTTTTCGAACCAAGTGAAGGCTTATATTAAGTGAAAATAAACGAGATAGAACTATCCCTAATAAAATTTTATTCAGTTTTTCTTTTAATAAGTTTGGGCTTCAGCCAATGGTGACGGTGTTTGCTCTATTAGCTCACCTTTTCATACTAGCTTACAAAGGAGCGTCAATAGAAACCCAATCTGAATTTAATGAAATGTCATCAGAACAGCAGTCTTGCCTGCTGAAATTAACATGAGAGACACGGCTAGTATAACAATTGGTCTTCCAAAGGTTCGTCATAACCAGCCAAGCAGGAAGTCGATAATTTAAGATTAGCTATATCAAGCCACCTACTGAACATTCATACGATTATCCTACGCAAAGTGAGAGATTGAACAGAATGTTTAACTTAATACAAAGTTCTGAAAAACTATCTAATTTTATTATTTATTGTAATAGCATTGATTCCCGTTAGGTCTCTCTATAATCCAAATTTTACATGTAGCAGCTTCAGTTTTTCTAACTTATATTAAGTATACAATTATAGTTGTCTTTACATAATTAGATAATTGTGCAATATATAGTTTTGCATGCGCGGAGGACCGTTCGCAGGTTTTTCGGGCTCGATGTTTGTCTAGTCTGTCTAGTTCACAACTGGTAACACTCAAAATAACTCACCGCCTTGTGTAGTCCAGTTACAACGCTTTTTTTGGAGTCAACGAAATAAACATATCACCTCGCTTGTAAGAAACCGATAGGCGGATATGGCACTCAGAATGCAATTGCAGAGAAACCCCCTAATCCTGTAATGTTTTACCCTGCCGGCTGCGAGCAGAGGAAGATCGAAGGGCTTCTGCTCGCAGGGTAATAATGATTTAAACATTGTTATTAAGCGCTGTTCAGGTGGATACCTTGTATTAAACAGTACTGTATAATAATTTAATCAATTAATTATGACTGTCTGCTGACTTTCGTGCTTTCTCGGAAAAAAAAGGAACGCCATAGACATAGCCAAGCAGACGCCACTTAGTCTACCGAGTAGCCTGCGCCTCAGACGAAACAAAACTTTGTTAAGTCCGTCGACAAAACAGCGCCGAAATCCTTGTTCTGCCCCCCTCCCCTGTATACCAGGATTTGAGAACGCGCCATGATTGGCCACTTAAAAAAGCCATTGTCGATTTGCCAACCAGGTTGAAAGGAAATTCGAAACGCACTTCCGGTAACTCGTTGAGTCTGTTGGGTCACAGAAAACGGATCTCGACGCAACTTCGCAGACGTTACTAACCGAGGTTAAATTACGTCTGCCACGCGCGCAGGCTAATCTACTAAGTGGCCAGGACAAACCGCCTTAGCTTGTTCCCTTACCTGCCAAATGAGGAGGTGTTACGTGCTGCGTGTTCATAGATCTAAGATCCCAATTACCCACATGCATGTACATGACGGAAGAGGTCAGTGACGATCATCATGCATACTTTAGGGTTAGCAATGAAACACTCATCTACCAGAAAACAAAAGTTTAAGATGTGAAAAGGGAAATCTAATTATACACTTATAGACCACATCAAAAGGAACCTATCACTCCTGCCTAGAAAGAATCAAGGCTTACATCAGAATACGGTACGCTACGGTACAGGCAACTGAATACCAGATAGACCTGCTTGAGGAGGTTGGAACACTGGCTTCTCGTTTCGTGATGCTGACTTAGGGGCTCTTAACATGGCGGGAGGAAGATCCCAGAAGGCGGATCATGCTAGTGCCATATCTTTTCTGTATTCAGTTTACATGCAAAGCGTTGAACTTGTCCTAGGCGCTAGCATCTTCCTGGTACTAGGATCTTCCCTGCTTAGCGGAAGGTCAAGTTTCTAGTTCCATGTAAACTTCTTTCGCCTGGAAGATCCTAGTACAGGGAACAAACCATTAAAATATGGTGGTGAGTCCTTCAGCTGGTACTCACGACAATAAAGGCCGACAATTTCGTTTACCGTTACTACGAGCTGATAATTGTGATGATTCTACCACTTCACCTGCTGCTGATGTAAGGTAGCTATTTAAGCAGGCAAAGAGGTCAGAAGGGTCCATATTGCATGTTTGTTATTAAATTAATTCTCTACTTGGCATCCACACAGACCGAAATTCCGGCTTATAGGATCTACCTTGGGCTATATAGGATCTTCCTCCCTTAAGAGAGGAACGGTAACACTTAGGGTTACTCCCTACATTGGCCTGATTGCGCGGCGGAGGGTTCCGCCAGAATTTCAGGCTTCAGGTTAGGGATTTCACTAGCTGAAGTATGTAGAATTTCCATAGAATTTCACTAGTTGAGGTATGTAGAATGATAGGATGAAAAACCTGTCATTTTGGTCTGTAAATTACATACACCGTCAAAAAAGCGAACAGTTAACTAATTATTGTCAATAAATGAGTATATGTTTATTTGAGCCATCTTGATCGAACATGCTTGGATGCTTGGTCGATACTGAGGATTCATTAAGGAGGGTATAATTATGAAGTCTTCATGATCACTAAATTTTATTTAACGGCCATAGCGAGCTCGAAAGTGGACTATTGTGAGTGAACTGGGGTCCGTGAATTCCGGGTGAAAAATATCCAGCTTCAAAAAGACATTCTTCCTCTTCTTATAAATGTTTGATAAAACATAAAATTAGGCAACAATGCTACTTTAACCAGCGAGGAAAGACAAGGAGACGTTCCATTAAAGGTATACGTATGTACAAGCTTTGTTTTGTTATATTTTGACTTCTGGACTATTTTACTTCGTGGGAGATTCGAAGACTCATCCCATTTTGACCATGTTATTGACACTCATTTTGTTTGGGCCACCTGTGCTCTCACATTCAAGAGGCGGTCAGAGCTGTAGGTTCGAATCCCGACACAGTTACTTTTAAAGGAGGCAGCTTGACCGAGTGGTAAGCGCCTTGGACTTGCAATCCGGTGAGCCTAGGTTCGAGTCTCGCTTTGGCCACTTGCTGGATTTGTTCTCCATTTGTTCGAGTTCAAAAAAAGACGAAAAATAGACTGGGTTAAATAAACACCGCACCTTACAGAGGTACGTCTTGCGTGAATATATATAGAGATATACTGTCATGTACCATAGCGACCTTGTACAACTTTAAGATATCCGTTTCTGCTCACTGCACCATGATGTACCCCATGGCCTTAATGTTCTTGGCACCGTTGTCCCTATTGCTAGGAGCTTGGTTTCCACATGTGATAGAGTCATCCGGTTTTCCTCCAGTGCCAAATCCGATTCTAGAATGGCAGGAAACGCAGCTGTTTTCATTGTTTCCTACAATACCGATTCTTGCTTTGGAGCGCTTCTTCCAATCGCACCGCGCGTTAAACCCTTCCTTGTTACATTTGATCTGCAAGGAGGCATTAGAACCAATCAGCGACTTCCACGTGTCACGACCCAGTGAAGTATTACGGTATTGCCCATCAGCGATCAGTGAATACAGGGAACTGGCGGTCCTGTTGATTACAATAAACTTGATCTGCTGACCGATCTTCATACCGAGGCAGATCTTGGAGAAGGATGTGTTCCAGTAGGAGGGAAGTTTGGTCTCTTGTGTGTCAAACCCAGTCTTCCCTCCGTCAAGGTTAAAGGCTTCTTTGTTGTTCCAAAGACTGGAGTCGTAGTGAAACGTTCGCTATAAATGTAATTACAATAGAAAACAGGCGATAATGTCGGGTACGACAATTTCGCGAAAAGCACAATTGATCCCTGTGCATTTAAGTATTATTAAACACTTACGTACTAGTCCCGACGGAAAAAGTTACTTTTGTGTTCCGAGGGACCCGTCTTAAAGTGATTTGTTACATAGTTGGAAATTTTGAAGCTGCAAATTCATTAAACCTTGTTGTAACGGCGGTTGTCGGTCAACATTCGCGGGTAACAGTGCACTGTTACCCTCTGACGTCATAAATTTTGCCTGCTCAGAGATTTTGGCGGGAAACAGTTTCATTGTTAGTTCTCATGCGACCTCGAAGTAACCAATGAGAGCGCGCGGTTGGGAAGAAATTTCTAGCTATGTAACAATAATATTGCAAATACTGAATGAGGCTGAGTATAGGATGTGAAGTAGAATTATGCAGATCGCGTAGGATGTTAACCCCTGAGGCTGAAGGCCTCTTTCTAACCTATTTCTCGGCACGGTTTCAGGACAAAAAGAGATGCTTTTTCTCTCAGATACTCCTCAAATAAAAAAAAGATAAAATCCATCGAGCAATATACATACATACGTACATAGATACATACAATTTATTAGGACTCCATTTGCTTGGCTATTATGCCCTAATTACAATAATAGAGATACAAATATGACTATAAAATAGGTTAACAAAGTATAGCCGCATAAAATAACAAAAAGTTTTAAAAATACAGGGGCACCCAACGAGGATATAGTTCAAAACCACTTAACATAGCATTGTTGAACGTATTTTAGTATTTAAACGGTAGATATAGACATATTTTTATCCCCTAAAAACTTTTCATCTGTTCGGATTTCCTAGCTGAAAGTCTAGTGATCCGAGAATTATAGGGATCAAAACTTACCTTTTCGAAAATTTCAGCCTGGAAAAGGCTCCCGAAAATTCTAGGTGGCCTTTTTTAGGGTAAACATCCGATTAAAATGGGTAATTATACCATTTTGTAGATCTTCGAAAATCTTAGGAGAGGCAGGCAAGCAAGAAATTTTACAACAAATGTTCCGAAAATTCTAGTTCTCAAATCGTCTTCCGAACAGATATTTTCCCGAAAATTGCCGTTGGGTGCCCCTGAAAATAGATAACGCAAAAAACTATCATAAGAAAATGTGAATGTTTATGAATAAAAACTGGGAAATATTAAGAATGTTTACAGAATCGAATTCGAGAGTCTAAAAATCCTAATCTTTATCCTAATCCATCGTATTCGATATGTTTTGCGCATTCTTGCATTTCTTCCGTTCAGTTACTTTGAAATTCAGCTATTTCGTCTTCGGATAGCAGTCAACCCCATTTTCTATTTTTAGTTCACCCAGGAATAAACAGCTAGGCTTCCACGCCCTCGAAACGACTGTAAGGATACCTTATTTCCGTTAATCTTCATGACCAGCGTCCATCCGCCATAACCGCATGTTTCATTTCCAGTCTCGGCCATGGTCATGTGACAGTAAACATCGATAACCTCATTCCCAATAACAAGCGGGTACGCATTGGACACGTTAGATCTAAATTGAAGAATTAGATAAAAAGACAGAGAAAATAACGGATAATAATGATTTCTCAAATCAAATCAAGTGCCTTAAGCAGCCGGAAAATAACTGTTATAATATACTAATCCACTTACATTTTCTTGTCGAAAATATCTTTGCAAGATAAAACTGTGATCCAATGAAAAAGAAAAAATATATAAGTACAGATACTTTAAAGCTAGTTCATAGTTCACCGTAGATTTTTCTTGAAGGAAAAATACATTGATTATTTCATTTCTACCTTAAATTTTGAAAAATGTTTTGCCAGGGGTGATGTGATTTAATTTCCAAGTTGGGGAAAGGAGCCGGAATACCGTACTTATTCGATTAACCGCCATGGGCGCTTAAAAAATTTTTGGACCTTGAGAGTGGGCGCTTATTCGAGGCTGGGCGCTTTTTAAATTTTCACCATTTTCAGCAAGTGAAGTATGTGTATTTTGCAACAAAACAATAAATGCTAATAACAAAACGCAAAGAAATAACAAAGTAAAGTTTCTGTAAAATACTCTGAAGAAAACTCCGTCCTCGGGGAAGTCTCTTATTAGAATTTATTCACTCAAGTGGCTGGGGTTACCCTGCGAGCAGAGGCCCTTCGATAAGATCGAAGGGCCTCTGCTCGCAGGGTAGGCTGGGGTGGGAGTGAGCGCTTATTTGAGTTTGATTGCGAGGAGGAGGGGTGGGCGCTTATTCGAGGTGGGCGCTAATTCGAGGTTGGGCGCTTATTCGAATAAATACGGTAGTATTAAATCAAACAACTAGAGCCATTGCCTTAACAAGCGTCAGAAATATAAAACTCAGATATTGAGTAATTTCGTCTTAATTTACTACTACTGCTTTCCTTCAATGGGTTTGATGCTTGCCTAAAAAAGGTAGACGGTGACAATAAGCACAAAGATTAATAGGGCGTGTTTTTTAGAGTCTTTTAGAGGCGACTGTTCACTTATGGTCTGTCTGTTTATGGCGCTGTAGACTCAGATCATACAAAACTTGCTAAATAGATTCTCTTTAAGGAAACACACATCTAAGATAACGGACATTCGAGACCTTTTAGAAAAGGCAGACAGGAGTGAAGCGTTTCAAGGTACGTTCAGTGAATCCCGATTTCCCGCTTAGTAACAATCACTGAATAGATGATGATTCCGAAGAAGAAAGAAACAAAGTATGATCTTCGAAACAGAATTGGTCATCACCCGGAAATCAAGTCTGATAGATTTGAGAATGTATTTTTAAATGGGCTTATTTTTAGATATAATCTTTCTGAGTATTTTTATTGTAAGTTAGCTTACGTATATTTTTAGACTTCCATTTGTAAATGTAACTTAAGATATATGTTTTATCTTAGGAGGAATATAAAAGGTTAATTAATTGATTGATTGATTGATTGATAGCTATATATCAAGAGAACTGTACTTACAGCTTATTGAGAACTTATACCTTCCAACTTTATCGAAAACAAATACTGCAGAATGCTGAGTAATTCACAATTTGTTTTTCATTTACTCACGACAAAGTGGTTGATGAGTGGTGTCATGAGTTCAAGCTATATGTCCATGAAATACTCATTGGATTGTAGAACGTTCTTTCATTATTATCCTTAAATCCTGAATGCCTGTCAAAATTTGCTCCCAATATCACTGTGAAAACCCTGCGAAACTCCGTCAAAATACGACGGAATGTAAGCCGCCGCGCCTAACTTTTATTTGTAAGCGGTATGGGCACCAAGAGGTAATTTAATTTTAGTAATTTTTGTATCAGCTCACCTTGTTCACAAATAAACCCATCTCCATAATATCCCGGATGACAAGTGCAGTTGTATCCGTCCACAGTATAACGGCAGTAAGCATTCACGCTACAGTTGTGTGTCCTCGAAGTGCACTCGGTAATTCCTGAAGCAAGAAAAAATATTTACAGTCTTTGCATGAAAGAAACTTCAAGAAATAACTCAACACTTTGAGTCCAAATATTTTGATGAAGCGCAAATCTTTATAATGCTTAAGATATAGGGGATCTTACTTATTGTGGGAAATTAACGCTTCAAGAAATTAACGCGAGTTTCAAAAATTCGCGTTAATTTATGTTGCGTTAATTTCCCGCACCTTCCATTTTTTGGTCCCAAATTCGCGATCTCGATAAACTTTTGTCATTCTTGTCACTTAAAAAAGAGGAGTATTCTATCAGAGAGGAGATCCGGCAGAAACAGTAAAACAGTGAAAAGTGACCAGTACCACGAACAAAGTTTCCATTTCGGATCGTGTACAATACGTGTAACCGGAAGTTCCTGTGAAATTTACGCAATTTCTTTCATTTTGAATGGCTACCCTCTCTTTCACGTTAAGTTTCTTTATTCGAAAGTCGTTTTCATGAAATTCGCATTAATTTAAGTCGCCCTAATTTCCAATTTTCTTAATTTCATGGAGCGACAATTTTTTATAATAAGGTATATGGGCGGAGAGATGGATATTGTAATTTTCACCCGTGGAGATATCATAAGTTCTCCCTCGAAAGCTTAACCAGGTAGTTTATTTGTGTTTATCAGGAGCCCATGAGCACCTGACCGTTAGTAAAAATTAACGAGTGAAATGATCTTGATATTAATGGACCTTTACATTGTTTTGAACTCGTTATTCTTTCCAATCAATGTAAGAGTCCCGTTGCCACATGACCTGCTGGCTCTTAAAATCAACGGAAAGGTTTATTCAAATTGGATAATGCCCTCACTCCCCGGCTTTCTCTTTTCTGCCCGCTCGATTACTACCCATTTTTTAATAACTCCGGTTTTTACTCAAAGGTGCACCAGGGTGCTTATTTAATTTATCAATTGGTTTAGATGTCGCATTTCGCAATGAAAAACACACAGCATGAGATCTAAAAAATCTACGTCACGGGTCACTCGGCCACTAGCACCTTGAGATTCGAAAGAGTTTCGTCTTTTTTCATATATTGGCCAGCGAACTGCCCAACCTCTTTTGTGTTTCAGAATTCTTTGTTGTAAACCTTAAGTGACCTGTGACTGGCCGATTAATGTTTGGGTGGCTCAGGTTAAGTTTCGTTGCACTTTTTCAAGGGCTTATGAAATAATGTATTTTTGTTTAATTTGGCCAGGGAAGAAAAAGGCTTGTTCGACGGACACACTCTTTCGAGAATTACCAGTCTCGCAGTGATTTCCTTTGAAACCAGCAGTACACAAACAACGATATCCTTTGTCTGTAAAACCAGTTTGACAGGTTGCTTTGTTCTTGCAAGGTTTCCTCGCACATGCGTTCTATGGAAGAAAGGGACGATATCGATAAGATTGGAGTTGTACGGTCGTCACTTGTTCCATCCGCCAAACTGACATTTTCCTCTCAGTGGCTCTCACAAAACATTTCACTTTTCTTACATGAACACTACACAACCCAGGATTTGCTGACAACGAATGGTTTGATTTGAATATACATAGCAACAACCCTAACCCTAACCCTAACCTAACCCTAACCCTAAACCTAACCCTTACTTTGTGTACGAATCATTAATCTGTCAACGTCAGTTTGGCGCATGGAAATAAGTACTGACCGAGTTGTACGTCCCTTTATTTAGGTCCTAAATAAATGCTTTTAATGTCTGATTAGATAATTTATTACAAGACGCTGAGTTGGATGTGCAGAATTATGCAGATCGGCGGGACGACGTTTTCCACCGAGGCTGAAGGCCGAGGAGTATCGAATAACATCCTCTGAAATCAGTCAGAATAATCCTTCGCACCATGCGAAAGCCGAATTCAATAGCGTTTTATAGTTAGTCATTCAGAATATTTCTAAGTTCTTTACAAGCTTACCGCCTCGTAGACTTTCAGTCTTTAAAACGTATTAGCTTTTTCTCGGCACGGTTTCTGATATTAACAAATGTTTTTCCTTACAGATACCTCTCAAAAAGTAGGTAACATCTATCTGATATGCTTAACGTATTCTTGTATTATTTCCGTTAAGTTTTAGTTTGAAGTTCAGCTATTTCTTCTTAATTTCAGATAGTTAGTAGCAGAATGAGACCAGTCAGTTCAGGTGCAAATGGCAGTTTTACGAGAACGAAGTTGTCACTGAATTCTCACTTTTTTAATTATCCTTTTGCGTCTTCCTTTTTTTCGTTCGTTCGTTCGTTCATTCATTTTTTTTATCTTTTTTCTTCCTCTCTTTTTTCACCTTTTTTTCACCCCTTTAATGACAGCCCCAAGTAGCACATGTGTGCGAAAAAAAAAAATATATAAAAAAAAATACAGCATTAAGATATTGGTGATCCGGCCTGAACACCTTAACTGATACCAAAATCTGCAAATTACAACCCGAACAGAGGATACGGGCATTGTCCCAGCCTCTTCCATAAGAGGGTCAGCCCGGGATTTTGTCAACTGTGATCTTTCACTTATATTAGTTATCTCAAAACGCGAACCTTAGCTCCATGGTAACGATAGTCCAAGTTGCTCTCAAGCTTGTCTTTCTGTCCTTCGAAAGTAGAATTGTTCAGTTCGCATTTGCTCGTTGATTTTTTAAAGTTCAAACTGACGCAGTTTGAGTCCAAGAAACATAACATCTCACAAATTTCAGCATCTATGACATCAACGCTACGAAACACGTGATGTCTTAGACGTTTCCCTTGCAAGATATGGTCACTTCTGAATTGCAGCGAGCGGCATGTGTCTAAGAGAAGAGAAGAACTCAATAGCAGTAAACAACAAAATAAATTTATCATTTAGTTTCTTTGGGATAAGGTCACGTGGTCATCAATCCCGGAACCCAGGCAGTGGGTCCAGGTGTCTGGATCCGCCAATGCCTGCGATGATGATCGCGCAAAAATTAAGTAAGACAAAAAAATAAAGATGTTCATATTTGAAAGGTTTTGGTCCCAACAAAGGGTTTGTTTCAAACAGACAAAGCGTGAAAAACCGAAGGTATTTGACAGCTTAAAGAATGTTGGGTTAACCGCAAAACACAGCGGGATCCCGTAGCTAACACCCCCTTAATTTAGGATGCACTCTGATTGAAGCCTGCTAGCAGTGGAAATACGAAACATTTTTCCTGATCGTTACGCGGGCTTGATCTTTCTTAGAGATTCACCCTCTGACTAGCTCGGGGTATGAAATAATCACCGTTTCATCTCGTCTTTATGCTTCGACATCATCATCAAACTGAAACAAAAAAACTACGCGAAAAGTATACGTGTTGAAGCAAATTTTTCTAAGACAAACCAAAGGAGGAGAATGCCGTTTTTGATCACTTTGAAAATCAGATACTTTTGTTTGACGGAGCGCGTTAATCTTAGTCTTATGCTATGTCTCTGATTAAGTTTAAAAACGGTTACGGGTTTTTAAAGATTAAAACACAACGTAAAGGAAAACTAACCTTGCACTTGTGCATGAACTGACACTGAAAGCAACACAAAGAAAAGCCAGAACTCGCAAAGTGAAAACATAGAGAATTAAGAAATTCTTTACGAGATATGCCGAGAAAGATTATGGTCAGTAACTTATATAGCGACAGCTGAAAAAAGAAAAACTTGAAAAGCTTCCCATTTAAAAGAAATTAATATTTTATTAAGGTTTATTTTTTTGTCCATTGTAGTCAATGTTAACTTTTCACAATAAATTCCCAGATAACCAATGTTAACTCAACCATTCGTTTTTAATAAGGCTTTTGATCACCGTAGGCTTGTGAGAGAATAAAGAACAAATGGGTGAAAGCTAGGGAAAAAGGTGAAGACAAAAAAAGAACTGCAACTCCATCCCCAATTCTTAGCCACATGTAGTCTGAACCACCTAAGTGAACAGAGTAATGTTCTAGACAATGCGTGGACCGTCTGCATCGCAGGCTACCGACTTCCTTTTTTGAAGATTAATTAAACACACTCGGCGAAAAATAATTTAGTTAGCGACGGTCAAAAAATTATTTTGTCTGGGTAATAAAAAATAAGGTAACAAGGATTTTATGCTTGTGTTAAATAAACTCGAGTTGTTTTGGCAAACTAATTAAAATAAAAGGACTTATATGATTTTATGTTTGCGAACGACAACTTTAGAATTAATTAATTTGACTAGGGTGGAATGTCGCCGACTAGATTAGTAATATGAGTAAAGTGGCGCGAAAAAAAAAATCTTGTTTCATTTGGGTCTCTCATGAGTTTATTTCCATCAGTATTGTATTGTGAGCTCCTAAACAACACACTAACTAAACGTAAACCTGTTAAAAAAAGAAAGCATAATTAATATATAGCGACTGACACATTTTCAATTGTTTGAAATTAGACTCAGGAACCACGATTTGCGCAATTGCCGTCATTCTGCAGCCGTACCCAACAGCACCAAGGCAACACAAAAAACAGACAATCCACCGTTTTGGGGACAAAGCAACTACTGAAAGTGAAGAATGATCATCGCAGTAAATTTTCCAATTTAAGCAATTGGAAAGAAGAAGCCTGAAAAAAATCAGTGCTTCAACGGGATTCGAACCCGTGACCTCCGCGTTACTGGTGCGTTGCTCTACCAACTGAGCTATGAAGCCACACATTGGGAGCGAGGTCAATTTATTGAGTTCATATCTCCCGTGAGGAGTGAAATGATGTGAAGTATATATGAAATAATTCATTTATGAATTATTTCATATATACTTCACATCAAAGCAACTACTAGTGCCAGTCCCTCCCGAGTACAGAATTTCAAGATGGCATCGCTTTCATTTGTATCCTATGGTTCACCACTTTTTGCTATTTTAAAATGTAACAGTTGTAGTGTTTCGAGCTGTTTGGTACTTCCTCTACCTGCTGACCATAAGGCTTGACAGCGAAATAGCGAAGAAAATTCTTGAGGACTTAAAACAAACACGAAGAGTAGTGGCCTATTTGCAAGAAAAAGTTTGGCAACAATGACAAATGAATTTTCTTATTTCTTCAGTCCTGTTCCAACAAGCCAAAATAATTATCAGTGTTTTGGTAACACGGATGATAGTAGACCGCAATTTGGCTGACAGAGTTTTATCATACTTTTATAGTTGTGAGCTATAAATCAATTCATTCAAAAACGACCGTTTTTGGCTTGCCTTTGCAGACACTGAGTTTAGTTAAAGTAAAAATAAGACAGTTTAAGTGGTGCCTGTTGCAAAGTTTATGGTTTTATAAAGTAGCCCTGTGCTGTGTTGTGTCTCATACAAAAAATGAACTTCGCTCGTTTAATTGTGAGCGTCAAAAAGTGGTCAAAATTTGCTTTAAAAAAGATGGCGCTCAATGCTCGTATCTCTAATACAAGAGCAGTGTCACACCTATGTTTATTATATT